TGCTTGGAACCACGTCTAGTTTAGAGTTCATGATCATTAAGCGTTACCTTTCATAAATGTGTGTATCTTGTCTGTTTCATCAAATGCGATGCTCCCCAGAGATCGCCCATCAGATTGAGGGCTCCCTGGGGTTGGGGGCAGGAGGATCAGATTTCTGCTTTTGGGAGGTTCTTAGCTCCCAGTCTGCCAGGAGGCCATAAATTGGGTGGAGAAAACCAATAGGCAGAACCTGCACCCTCACCCTGCTCCTTGGGTTCCAGAGCTTCTTATCCTTTATCTCATTAAAAACAAAACAAAACAAAACACAACAAAAAAACAGGGACCAGCAGTTAGCATAATGGCTATGTTGCTGGACTCCCATGTAGTTGACCATGGTTCGAGTCCTGGAGTCAGTGTCTTAAAACTCATGCCGGGCGCGTGTGCATGCGTGTCCAAGATCCCGAGAGGAGAATGGAGGAGAAGGGATTGCGGCATGGCCATTCCCCCTGGGGGGTGTTTTCTCGCTTTCTATCTCTCTGCCTGTCTGTCTGGCGAGCACATGTGCCCTACAGCAAAAACCCCTTCCCTCCCCCCCAAAAAACAAAACAAAACAAAAAAACAAACAACCATTCTGTGGATATACTTTGATTTTGATGCGTCCTCTCCAAATTCATGTGGTGAGATTTGGTTCTATTGTGATAACGTTAAGGAGGTGGAGACTTAACTTAGTTACGGTATTAAGAGGTGGAGTGGGACCAGCAGTTGGCATAATGGCTATGTCCCAATAACAAAAACCTCTCAAAAAAAAAAAAAAAAAAAAAAAAAAAAGGAACCTCCGTGGCACAGGGAAAATGCACTGTTCAGGAGAAGCCAGGTCCTACATGGCAATGCCAGTTTGAATCCCTGGCCTAGTCTAAAACATGCCAACCATGTGCATGAGCGCCCAGGGCTGGAGGACTGGAGGACTGGAGGGAGGAGGTTGCTGTGTGACCAGACCCTGTGGAAGTGCTCTTTTCTCTCATGTGGTGCTCATTTCTCTCTCTCACTATCATGTGCATGTACTCTATTATGAATAAAGATTTAAAAAAAAAAAAGAGGCGTAACTTTCGGGAGGTGATTTGGATTAATAAGATTATAAGGGCAGGGCCCCCATGACTGAGTCCTGGTGGCTTTATAAGCAGAGGAAACGACATGGACACGGAGACACAGGAACACCCACACTCCTGCTTTACCACGTGATGCTCTGCACTGTCTCAAGACTGTAGAGAGCCCCAGTTACAAGAAGGCCCTCACCAGATAGGGCCCCATGACCTTACCTCCAAAACCTTGAGCTAAATAAACGTTTGTTCTTTATAAGTTACTTAGTATGGTATTCAGTTGTTAGCAACAGAAAAGTGGACTAAAATGGGAGCAAGCCCAATTGTGACACACACATACACACACACACAGGATGAAAATGACCCTCCACAGCTGTCGCGTGGCAGGTCAGAGATCACATAGCTATTCTTTTTTTAAGTTTACTTATTTCTTGGGGGAGAGAGAGATACCTTCAACTTGGTCTTACCACATTGTGACCAGCCAGGTGGGACCACAGGTGCACATGGGCACACCCGGTGTGCTCAGGTTGATCCAAAATCTGATCCTGGGCCTCCCATGTGGCTCCAATACTGTGCAGTGACATATTTTGCCTGTGCCATTGTGGCTGAGCCAGGTCACACAGCTCTTAAATGGCTGTGCTACAATTTGGACCCAGGTCTTCTGACTCCAAATCCCAGTCCCCTTCTCTAATCTTCTCCCCAGTACTTGCAGTCTGACAGGGGGACACTACACTCGGCCTTTTAAGAGACTCTATGGCTGAAATGGAATGACTAAAGGTTTTAGAAACTTAGTAAATGGTTGTGAATACCAGATCCAGTACGGGAAGAGGGCAGGTGAAAGAGTAGAGTCTGAAGAAGGACATAGAGAGGCAAGGCATTTATGGGACAAAGAAACGGATTATCTATTGAAGATAACTTTATAGTATTACCAACTGGACTGGTGAGAAATGTACACATGCTGGAATATTCATTTTGTAAGCTAAGTAACATGTGATTGAACGTATAATAGAAACTGAAATAAAAAGAAATAAAAAATTAAAAAAAAGAGCTTCTAGTTAGGCGAGGGAGATATAGGTACCTGCCACCAGGGGCTCTCCAGCCAGGTGGAGAGTCCCAGTGCCTAGCAAGGGAGACAAAGTAAGGAGTGGGCACATGCACATTTTGCATGGGTCTTTCTCTTTCACTGAAAGTCCCATTTTCCAGATAAGGCCTGAAGCTCAGAGACTGTAAGTAACTTGCTTCAGGTTCCAAAGTGAATCCAGTGACAAAGATGGGACTGGAATCTAGATCAACGGATGCTCACACCTGTGCTTTTTCCTTTAGCATGGAGGACTACTGGCTCAGGGGTCACTCCTCAATGCAGGCTCTCCATAGGCTGAATGTAGAACTGCCAGCTTGAGTCTCTGGGGCCTCACAGTGCCCTGTATAAACGTCTGCCAGGGTACCTGCACCTGTCTTCCCTCACTAGGCAGGGAGCTCCCGGAGGGCAGAGAGAAGTTTTGGCTGCCTCTCTATCCTTGGTATGTAGCACAAAGCCCATGCATAATAGACATCCAGTAAATGTGTGTGGGGAAGTGTTTGGGAGGCCTCCTCCTATCCATTCTCCTGGTCCTTGGAATTATCCCAGGTAGTGATGGAGGACAGGAGGACACCAAAAGATGGATGGGGACTGAGGAGGTGGTGGGGTCAAGATGTGGGCAGTGGCCTCACCTGGAAACCTTTCTGATTTCCCATACTCACCTGCACTCATACTTCACCTCTTGGCTTCTGTCCAGCCTCTCCTGCATTCTTGCCTCTGAGCCCCAGCACCTTTAACTCTCCTGGATGTGTAGTATAGGGGCTAAGTTTGGCCTTGCGATCAGACCTATCCTTATTTCCATTTTATTCTCAAAGAGCTTCAAGGTTAGGTGGGTGGAGGTGAGCTACCGCCATTGTACAGTTAGGCTCCAAGCTCACGCAGTAAGTTGGTGGCAGGACTGGGTCCACTGATGACAGAAGAGGGGGAAGGGCTTGAGGTTGCTTTCTAATCAGGAACAGGTGGGCATCCACCAGAGACTTCAGGAACCTGGCTCTGTTTCCTTTCTCCAAGGAAGATGGGGGGAAGAGACGCCACTTTGAGGGAGAAAACCCTAGAATCTTGTCCTTGCCAGTAACTCTTCAGGCCTTCTGCAGTCTTGATGGTTACCAGTAGGTGCCGTCAGTTTGCAACTTTTTGGTCGGTCCTACAGGTCCAGTTTCCAGACCCCTCATCCTCCAATCACTTTCTGCAGCACTTGCAGAAAGTAGGAGATGGCCCCACCCCTGTGAGGCTGAATGAACCCGGCCCTGGGAGAAGCAGGAAGGGGAATTTTGAACAGCTCTTCAGCTTGGCTGCCCCACAGCTTTCTAGGCCAAGGCCATCCCCTCACACTCACAACCCCCTTCCGTCCCCCAAGTGGGTCACCGATTATACCTGGACAAGCATCCTTAGGCTGAAGCCGGCTCCAGAATAGCAGAAACCATGGTGGGGAAGGATGGGTGTATATTAGGGAGACCTGAGAAGGAGCCTTGGAGATGGATCTCTGCTCCAAATGCTCCTCCAGGGCTCGTCTTCCCAGAGGCACTGTGGAAGCACGAGGGAGATAAGAACCAACAGGATCCACAGAGGGGCAAGTCAGCCTTGACACTAGCCCAAAGAGCGACGCTGGCTGAATTAGAAAAAAGCACCCCTTCCTCAAAATCCTTGACTGCTATCTGCGGGGAACACAGCCACTCTACAAATATACAACGACGACAAGGAATAGTGCTCCCTGGAGTTGTTCAATGTACAACTTGCACACTGCGAGTGTCAGTCTGGCCAGTCTCCTCTAGGAAGCGGGTCTGGGCAGCGGAAGCCAACAGTCAGAAAGGAAGATAAGGCTTCGCACCTCCTTCCCTGGTTGTTTGGTTGATTCCATCCTGGGCACTGCAGGGTGGACCAGGGCCCAAATGAGCCCTGGGGAGAGTGCAGGGAAGGTTGCGAGGGGCAAGCGGGAAGAGAGCCTGCTAACATCCTAAGCCACCAGGCCTTTCTGTGCCTGTGCCTGTACCCCTGCCCCACCTCACCCTGCTCGGTATCCAGGGCTGAGACTGGAAGCACTGGGGCGGGGTGGAAAGGACTCTGGCCAAGGAGACTGAGTCCGCAGAGCGGAGCTAGGAGGTCTGGTTCTCAGGGGCAGACCAAGGGCCGCCCCGGTGGAGCTGGGGAGAAATCCTCCGCGGTCGGGGGAGGGGGCCAGGCTGCAGCTCCTTCTCTTCCCCCACCAGGCTTGGGTTCAGAGGCGCTCTGGGCGCTGGCCACTGCTTCCAAACTGCGCCGCTTCCTTCTTCGGCAGAAAAGGACTTTCAGATGTTGTAGCCGTGGCGGCGGCGACTCAGGACAGCGCCCCCTCCCCCTAACGGCAGCCTCTCCCTCTCCCCCTCGCCCGCCCGGGCTCCCCCACCTCTGGGAAGGCGCTGGGGGTGTGGCCAGGGGCCGGTATAAAGTCCGGGGGAGCGGGTCCTGGGCAGCGCTCAGCCCCCTGCCCCAGCGCCGTCCGCCGCCTTCCTGGGCCCGGCCGAGGATGCGGCGCAGAGCCTCGGCGACCAGGCTCGCTCCCCTCCGGCCCGCTTGCTAACTTCCCCCGCTCGGTCTCTGTCCGCCAGCGGGGCCGCCCCGTCTCCCGCGCCCTCCGGGGCGGTCCCTC